GCTGTGAGCAGCGATTGGTGGCCGTCGGTCCCTTGCATCCAAGACGCCACTGTTTTGCACACCGAGGATCGTTCGGTTTCGTCCTTCGGAGTGCGTTAGCATCTGGCCGGCTTTGAGTTGCCACGACTCTGGCCACGACTCTGCCACCGCATCATGTCTGGAAGCCGCTCACCACAGGGAGCATTGGACTTTGGAATTTGGTGTGCACGATCGTGACGGAACAAAACACAGGGGCTGCCCGTTGTCTGGCGAGACTAGAACGGCTGCCGGAGCTTGGTCTTGGCTCCACCTGTTGTTTTGGGCAGCTCAGAGCGACGGCTCTTTGTTGCTCCGTATCGGTCGCTGAGGCTCCGTAGCTGGGCTGAACGGCTAACACCGGCGAAGCCTGTGCGCCGCAGCCCTTGTAGAGCTTCGCTTTTTGTCTCACCGCTTTGTAGTGTTTTTGCTTAGTTTGTTGTCTGCTTGTTTGTAGGGACCGAGTGGTATAGCCGTAGTCGACGAGGCCCAGTCAAACCAAAAAAATCTTCGCACTCCTCTTCCGGAAGCCGCTCACGCTGTAGTGGGCCGTGGATTTTTTGGATTTTGGTGTGCACGATCGCGACGGAACAAAACACAGGGGTTGTCCGTTGTCTGCCGAGACTAGAACGGCAACCGGAGTCTGGACTTGGCTCCATCTATTGTTTTGGGCAACTCTAAGCGACGGCTCTTTGTTGCTCCTGACCGGTGAGGCTCCGTAGTTTGGTGCTGAACGGCTACCACCGGCAAAGCCTGTGCAGCCCTTTGTAGAGCTTCGCTTTTTGTTTCACCGCTTTGCCAGTTTGTAGTTTGTAGTTTGTGTTTGCTTCGCTTGTTTGTAGGGACCGAGTGCTACAGCCGTAGTCGACGAGGCCCAGTCAAGCCAAAAAAATTATTAACAAGGCTGGGCGTTTTACCATGTCTGGAGAGAACGCCTCCAACGTCTCATGGCAGACAGTACGCGGCCCACTGGCCCATTGATCATTCTTTGTCCGAGTGCTACAGCCGTAGTCGACGAGGCCCAGTCAAGCCAAAAAAAAAACTGGCCCATTGATCATTGCCTCCCCTTTCTCCGGACTGCTGGTGTTAACTGCACCGCCACGTTTTGGTCTCCAGCTTCTTCGAAAGCACAAGCGGGTGGGCGTGCCTCCTCCCAAAAGATTACACAGTGCGCTCCGTTCCACTCACCATCGGTCTTTGATGGAGGAGCACGTGTATTTCGACCCGCCTGCGACTGTGTGTCGAGGCCAAACCGACTCCGCGGAATCGCTGGTGGCCGCTGTGCCGGGGGCGTTCTACCTTCATTCCATCGCTTCGGATACTGTTAACACGACTCTGCTGGGGAGATTGCAGCGTTTCGTGTCGTCACAGGTGCGCCACTCTGGCTCCGCAACCGTTATGTTGCCACTGGTCGCTACTACGGGCTACCACGTGCCCTCTACGATCCGACGGGCAAGGTTCGCCCGGACCCGGAGGCAGGCGCCCCTGCAAAGGAGGATCCTGCGTTGACCGGGGAGTTGCGCAGTGAAAGTTGCGCTGCCTTCCTTCCTGCCGCCCCTAAATCTACATAAACCCAACGTGTGGCGGCCCTGTTGAATGCTGTGGAGACTCCGCCAAGTCGCTTGCTGCCTGGAGTTGCAGCCATTGCTAGCCGGTAGAAGAGGAGGACGACTTCGAGGTGCAGCATGATACTCTCCGCCGCTACCAAGCCCGGGGCAGGCAACAGCGGCCTGTCGAGGAGTGGACTGCGCAGTGATGCTCGGTAACCACTTCGGCGGCAACCTGTCTCTGTTCCAGGAAGCAGCGAGGAAGGGAGACATTGTCTCCGCCACCGGGCCCGATGGCAAGACCTAGTGGTCCTTCAAGACCGACGAGATCGGCCGCAAGGAGGGGAAAAGTGTGACCCAGAGCCTGCGTCAGCAGAAGAAGGTGTCGAAGGGGGAAGCCGAGGAGCTCTTGGAGGCATTCAGTTCTGTGAACTGGAAGTTCACAGCGAAGCAATTCGAGAAGGGCATGATTGAGGAGCACGGCGAGATCTCGGCTTCGTCCTTGAACCTCGCTAAGCAAGCGATCCAGAGCCAGGAGAAGCTTTGCAAGGAGGCCAACGTGATCCTCAAGACCCCGGATCGCTTGGACAGCGAGTTCGTCAGGACCCTGAAGATTTTCTATGCGAAAGCCACAGCCCATGTCGCGAACCTGAACCAGCTGAAAGATTTGAACATGATGCCGGATGCCACGAACCCGACCGAGGAATCCATCAAGAAGTACTTCCAGGAGATCGCAGAGCACACCAGCAAGTTCAACACTGAGGTGGAGGTTGGCAAAGCCAAGCTCAAGGCCCAGAAGAACTGAGCCGAAGCTCAGGCACATGTCTTTGTGTGTGTGTGTGCCTAGATCAAAGATTTTGAGGCTGAAGCCGTGTTTTCCGATGCCACACACTCATGTGTCATGATGCGGATTTTGATGGAGATTGTGTGTGATGGAGCGAAGCAGTGCCTGTGTCTGGGTGTGCTCTCAAGACCTAAAGGTGTATCGTCTCGCAAATGCCAAAACTTGTTCAACTGTGCATGTGAGCTTCCGACTGCACATGTGCTGTGAAGCTTGTGTCTGCACTGTCGCACCAAGCCCTCAAACCCCAAAGTCATTCATGGTGCCAGGTGAGCCTTCAGCCTGCGGCGAATCTACCTTGAGTGTGTGGAGGCTTCTACCTGTGAGAGAACATTTGTACCTGTGAGAGAGAGAGAGAGAGAGAGAGAGAGAGAGAGAGAGCATTTACCTTGTGAGTGTGTACTCTTCTATATATATACCTATGAGAGAGAACTTGTACCTGTGAGAGAGAGAGACAGAGAGAGCTTGTACCTGTGAGAGAGAGAGAGAGAGAGAGCTTGTGTGCATATACCTGTGTGAGAGTATACCTGAGAGGGGCAGGGAGTTCCTATACCGAGAGAGAGAGTTCATCATCAAGGCCACGTGCCGAGGCTTCCACGGGTGCCTGTGTGAGGAATGGGTTATACAAGGGTTTTCGGGGCTGAAAGTGAAGTCGAAGCCTAAACCCAAATACAGCTGTGAACTCATACCCGCGAACTTGTATCACAATCGGCCATAACCTTGCATCCACACAATCCAATAGGCCTATACACTGCCCATCCCAAAATCGCCAAAAAGCCTACATTGTACTTTAGATATAGTTCTAGATACGGATAAACAACCCGAGCCCACACATTCTCAGAAGTCGTAGCTCCTAGATTCACCCAAAGCCGCCAAGCCCTTTATATATAGATTCTTTCCTATATAAATCTATATGTATGCGGATAAAAATAAGGATATAAATACCGAACCCACCAGACCTATCATAACTATCTGAGAAGTCGTAGCTCCTAGATTCCACTCCCAGAGCCGCCACATTCCCAGACCTATCACAACTATATATGACAAGTGGTAGCTCCTATAGATTCCATTCCCAAAGCCGCCACAAGGCCTATATATGGATTCTTTCCTACATATAGACATCTAAATGAATGTGGATAATAATATATTGATAAAAGTCCCGAACCACCCCCACAAAAGCGCCGAGAATCCGGATAATAATCACGAACCCACATTCCCAGACCTATCACAACTATCTGAGAAGTCAAATAGCTCCTAGATTCCACTCCCAGTGCCAAGCCCTATACACTACCCGAACCCACACAATCTTAGACCTATATTAGCTCTCCTGACAAGTCGTGCCTCCCAGATTCCGGAACAGGTGTGTATACCGCCCGGAACCAGCCCAAACACTCTGGATTCAATTCTTCCGAACTTAACCCCTAGACCCATCAAACCCTGTTGTGTGACTCGTTTTTATGACCCTATATATAGGCCTCAAGTCTTTGGCAATCCCGTCACACAAACCCTGTGTTGAACCTACAACCGACCATCCCTATACCCGCAAGTCACCCACAATACATATACACAATAGGTCTAAGCACTGTGGCATACAATCACCCGGCAACCACAAACCAATCCATTATTAAATAACTTCAACTCTCATCCATAAACTTGTTATACTATATATGGATAAACTATACCCGAACCCGCAATCTTCCATAAAACCCTATCATGAGAAGCCGTAGCTCCCAGATTCAATCCCCAAAAGGACCAAGCCCTCTCTCTCTATATATACCCAATATATATATATATATATATATGGGTATGGAGGATCAACTACACGAACCCCCAGCTTAGACTTGTCACCCCCTGAAAAGTCGTACCTCCCACATTCCCAAAGGGTATATATAATTAGGCCTCAGCACTTTTTGGGATTCCCCGGCAAACCCCAAACCAAGCAACACAACACCCTGCCAGTGTATACCCGTGGTTTGGACAATACCCGTAAACATTTGTGCCTTTCGCCCCAAGTCCCAAAAGCTCCTATATATATATATATAAGCCACATATAGGCAGGGCTTTGGGTTTCTTGATTATTCCTGTATTGCCCTGACCCCTGGTCGCCGAAGAAGCTCTGTGTGCCGCCCCAGAATCGAAGCAGTGCCGGCACTCGCAAGGTAGTCTCTCCATATAGGTTTATCTCTCCAAAGGTGATATATTAGTCTCTCACAGAAGGTACTTATGGTCATCACTCCACACATGGTATATGAGGACTTTCGAAAGGTAGATGAAGCTCTCTTCATGGTGTCTCTCTCCACGGTATCTCTCCACGGTATCTCTCAAAAGGTCGTAAACTCTTGAACGGGTTTAGGGAAAAGGTAGAAAAGCTTCCTAGGACATGATTGTTTTGTGTGGGGTGCTGAGTTGAGAGGTTAATGTTTGGGCTTAGAAGACAGACCTTGGAGGTTAAAGCGAAAAGTTAGCCGAAGAACCATCGAATTAGTAAAAAAGTTTCAGGGTTTCTGGTCTCCGGGCTTTCGGTCTTTCGAGTTCAGGAGATGTAGTTTTCGCCCAGCGGAGATGTTTACAGCCGACATGCTGTCGATCGCTCCACCATGGAGGCTTCAGCCAGCACTGGTGTCAAAAGAAAGCGAGGGGGGCAACAACAACGGATAGCTCGAGCTGCAGCTGAGGATGTTGCCAAGGAGACCGACAGCAAGCTTTCCGACTACTTGGTTGATCAGATGTCATGGGGCTACATGTCGCCCCAACAAGTGCAACGAATCGCCGACTTAGCACACTGTGATGTTCAAGCTGCACTGTCAACCGAAAGAGTGCCAAACAATCTGGAGTCGCTGGCCAATGCAGGTACACGGGGGCAACATGCAAACAAGTGCTATGGCGACGTGATGAAAGCTGCGACCAGAAGCTCTGAGTTGCATGTGTCGGCGCCGATGTTGGTATCTATCCCCTTCAGACACCCGGTCGGCAACAGAATGCAGGCGATGCTCTTGCCCCACCAGCTGTTCTCTGACATTTATCATCATCACCGTGCCACCTGGGAACAATGCATTTTGGGCCCACCTGGAGATCTACAGCGTTACACCGGCAATGAAAGCCAGAAAGGACTTGGCCGATCGTTGTGTGCCTCTGTGCCTTCATGGCGATGGGGTTCCGTTGACTGGTCGGGGGAAAGCCTGGCAACAGCTTATGACAGACTTTTCTTGGTATTCGCTGATCGGTCGTGGAAATACAAGCGAGGTGCTGTACCTGATATGGGGCATGTTTGACAAACTGTGCCTGGGAAAGCAGGAGCCCGACTCTACATTGGGCTCGTTTTTTGCTTTGCTGAAGTGGTCTTTCGAGGCACTCTGGCGAGGAAAATGGCCAGACCGTGATCACGAAGGAGTCAAGACTCTCGGCTTTTCTTTTATTTGCTCCTTTTATATAGGGGGTTCACAAAGACTTTTCAGGTTTCGATTATCTCATTTCTTGTGAGTTGAAGCTTGCGTCGTTTACAAAAGGGTAATATTCAGGACTATATATAACTGATTTATATGGGTTCGGTGTATATATCATATATATGTATGCTATCTATAAACACATATATTTTTACATATATATATATATATATACACACACTCTATTTTTTTCTACAAGGAAGCACACTGCAAGCCCCAAGAAACTCCATCCATCTTTGTGGAACCTGAGCCGCAAAGCCTTCCTCCATAAGCTGTGTTTTTTTTTGTGGAGCACACACACAGCCGACAAGGTATGTGGCAGGATCTGCTGAAGCCAAGCGAGCCAACAAAGCCCTAGCTGGAGGCTATTATGCCTGCTTGTGGAGCTTGGCAGGTGACCTAGATTACTATCACAAAATCCTGGACCTTCCCAATTCCACTACCCATGCAGGCCCATGCACTCTTTGTCAATGCACAAAATACGGGGGCAGCTCATGGATGGACTTTGGTCCAGGAGCTGCCTGGCAGGCAAGCTGTTGGGCGCCAGTTCCGTGGAAATCATGGCCAGGCCGCAGCCCATGCATTTTATTTCAGCTCTCCAACATGAGCGCTTGCAATGTCGCAATGGATTGGATGCACATAAAGTACCTTGGGGCAGACCAGTACAACTATGCCTCAGTCTTCTTTTTGCTCACCCACCATATTTTGCCTGGCACGCCAGCCCAGAACATGGAGGTCATCTGGAGGGAACTTCAACATATCTACAAGAGAGATGATATACCCTCTCGCTTTCGGTGCCTGAATACCGTGCGAATGTTCTTGAGAAAAAACAATATGGTCAAGCTCCGAGGAAAGGCTGCTGAAATCCGACATTTGCGCGGGCCGCTTCTGGAGATATGGCAGAGACACATGGTTCAGGCCGTTGCAATTCATCGAAAGATTCGGGTCATGCTCAAGCTGAACACAACTCTGGAAGGTATCTTGACGAACAGCAAAGGCGACTTTGCTTTGTGTGCTGAAGATGCTGCACAATTCCAAGATGCGACAATGGGCTGGCTTCTCTTGCAAAAAGAGCTGCAGGATCATTTCTCGGACAGCGATGTGCCTTTGTTCAATGTGACAGAAAAGAGCCATTTTATCGAGCATGCTGCCCTCCTTGCCCGCTACATCAATCCTCGGATGGTGTGGTGCTTCGCAGGGGAAGATCAACAACGTCGGACCCAACAGCTGGCCGAGACGTGCATGAAGGGCTTGGGCCCGGCGAAGGCCAGCCTCAAGATGATGTCGAGGTATCGTCTCGCTTTGGGTCGGCTGTTCAGCAAGCACGGGCACGTGTGAAAAACTGAGCCTTCCGATTTGTTTGCAGCTTGCGACTTCCACAATTTAGGGCACCTGTGTGTGTTTTCCTTGGACAGGTGTGTGGCGGCTCGGCAACGACATCTATACCTGTGGAGAGAGCTACCTATACAGAGAGAACGGAACACAGACATATATATATACACACACACACACATATATATATATATACATATATATACATATACATATATACACACTATATAAACACATATACATATATACCTATATACATATATACTTATATACATAAATTTATACTCTCTCACACACACACATATATATTTATATACACGTA